TCATTACAATACAAAGAGGTTAAGAGTTTTGCATTCGGAATGAACTGATAGTATAACTATATCTAAATTGATACAAATACAGATACAAATAAGAGGTGCACTATTTGTTTATGTTTTTTGTTGTCGATTTGTTTTAGAGGTTCACAAGACGTCTTCCTGAGACTAGTGTTGTGCACTGGGACTGGGATCCTGGGAGATGTAACAAAAAGTTAAGATTTTTTATTTTCATGTGGGTGCGAGCGAGTGGTCAGATAGGAAGCTCGCAGGACAAAGAAAGACTATGCTCATTAACATGAATGTGCTGTGCCACGAGATGCATTTACAACATCCTTAGTAACTGCCTGGTTAGGGTTGAAATGGTTTAAATTAGGCTACTAGTTTGTTTATATTTTGGGAAATAAAAACAACTAAATTTCAAAATATCACATGCACGTACAAACAGAAATAACAACTATGCAAAGTGGGTTTTAAAAAACAATCCTGCACACATCTCTAGTTAAGACCAATTATGAACTTGAGTGATGTAGCTGAGGTTAAGGAACTGTCAGAGCCACCCACTTTGGATTTAACTCTGAATACAGATACAGATATGGATAGTTGGAGCACTAAAAAGATACAGTTACAGATTGCAGACATACACTCGGTACCAATTAAGTCTGATATGTTAGGATCACCTCTCACTCTCTCCATTCCACACATTTCCAATCTGTACACTATGTACAAGATATGAGTCATGTTGCGTCTTAGGGGGAGCGAAAGTATGTTTCACAGAAGATGTCTCCTGATGCCAGAATCACCTGCCTTTTCGGAGCATAGATTAGCTCTAAATAACTCCAAATTCAAACATCAAACATTTGATCATTATTTCCTCCAGCTGCACAATGTCAGTGAGTTTCATATAGACTTGTCATCAGGTCATTACTAGGTTCATGTTTCTAAAACTATTCTCATGGGTAACAAAGATATAGCTGGCACATACGAGTACTAAAACTCCATAACAATTTTGCACTCATTAAAGCCAATGCAGTGTGGAGCCCAACAGATCATAATGTAATGAAATTCTCATAAATCATAAAATTCTCTACACCTGTAAGTTGCTACTTGTAACAAAACCATCCTTATTGTAGTGGTGCTTCTCAGTGCACTGGAATACTAGGGACATGGTTTTCCTAGCCACTTTCCAATGTCTTTGGAAAGCAGGTCTTTGGAAAGAGATTTGGACTGAAGATTGGACTCTTTTGGTGACTAAGTCTTGCAGAAGTTAGCAAATTCATCAATATCAGTTAAGGCAGCAAATCTACAAACATGATTAGTTAGGAATTTGTCAGCAGTCCTTCAGTATTATCAAGGATGCATTTATTTGGAGCGTAACGAACAAACTATTATGAGCTATTTTTAAAGTTGGTAGTATTCTCTTATAACACACTTTTAATAAATCACTGTTCGTAGGAAGCTAATTCAATGTGACTAGCTTATTTTTATGTGTGGGGATATAGGCCTACTGGTATACACATATATCATACCATACTGCTCATAACATAAGCTCAATATTTAACGGACATTAGGAACTCGTGCAGTGGAAGTAGCTAATCCATTTGTGGATTTGTGGAAGGTTGACCATGGCCAATTGAATGACCACAGAGGCTTTGTGGTAGACCTATCTATCTGGAACTATCCATCAAACAAAAAAATATAGTTCAATGAGAATGATTTCCAATGCTTTTCAATGTAAATTCTTTCAACATTTCAAAACACATTTTTGTAATTAATCACGTCTTACACCAATTAACTTCCTATTATTGCTCTGTTTTTTCCCTTTCAAAATCAGGAAATGCAGGAATGCATGGTATTTCTCTACTCTTTAGAAATGAATAAAAAGCAACTGAGCTAAAACAGATGTTTTTACACTGCATTGAGAATTACTTGTACTGGCCAGCCAATCTAAGCGTAGCCATCTCATTTTTTCCCTGTTTTTTTTTTTTTTTTTTTCAACTTCAGCAGCCTGGAGCAGATTTCACTGAGACAACTCGTCTGAGGGCAGATGACTAACAGTGCTGGGTAACAAAGTCTTTGACTTTGGCTTTGAAAATCCCACAATTTATGGTGCTATCTCTAATTAAGAAGTGTGCCAAATATCAATCTCAAGAATAACTGGTAATCTGAAATGATTGCTTTCAGATGTGTGAATGTGTCCTGCATCTTGTCTCTGCTAACCACTGGATGCAAGGGACAAGGTAGAGGCTTCTGAGTTAAATCACAGCCCAGGCCACCATGCAGTTAATGTGAGTGTTTTTGTCGTTATGTTTCACAAGAATTGTTGCAGCTCTTAAAACGGCCCCATTAACAGCAACAGAGATATGAAGCACCACCCATCTAATTTCCCTGTTGTGTGCTGGCTTCAGAATGTGGCTTCAAGTGTATCCACTATATTAAAAAAAGAACAGTACTCCTCTCAAACAGCAGCTGATTCAAGATAAGTGGAAAATGACAGTGGTATTCACTGGCCTTGTATTACTGCGACCTGTATTAGAAGGTCAGTATCAAGCACTATTTGCTGATTTCCATGCTCAAAGAACTTAATTCACTTAAGTCACAAATTATTCACCAGGATTATAGGTGTTGATAAGCAGGAAAGTCACCAAACTATGCTGGACTCCAGAGACGCAGAACTGGAGCACACCTCCATTATGTGATGAAAAAAAAAGTGATGTCCCTCCAAATGTACCGATAAACAAGAACTAAAGTTGCAGCATGTAGAATTTTGTTTTAGAAATGTCAGAAATGTTTTAGAAATGTTTACTACCATCCATGACTGTTTTGTAAAGCCAGAAAAAAGCCTAAATCCAGTGACATTAGAAGATTTGGTTGTGCATGGAAGCCACCACAAAACCCTATGTGGCTTATCCTATATAGCATCATCAATGGTAAAGCCAAAAAATACTGGAAGTCTAGACGGCCAGCAACAAGGGAGACTGACAGAGCCACAACTAAAAGAAGTTTTTCCCCTCACCAAATATGTAAGATATTTTATTTGGTTGTTATTTAATTAGTTAGCTGCAGAAATTATAGCCAATCAACTTACCATTGTTATGGAATTTGTAGCTAATGTTACTTAGTTGTCTAGCTATTAATAGTCAGCTAGTGCACTTAACTGTGTTTGCCTGTTTGTCAGATTAATCTGCCACTTTCATAGCGGACATAATTTTCCATCTAGTAATAACTGTGAGGCTGACCAAAATGTAGACAATATAGCATTTTGTTTGTTTTTATAACACTTCTAAAATTAGCTGTATGATTCTACACCAACAGAACTAGTATTGGGTGGAGGATCCAACTTTTGCCAAGGCAGCCTTAATACCAGCCTTTAGTGCATTCAGTGCAGCTGCTGTGCTGCACTCCTGAATTACACTCCAATCTTTAGTCTGCTTTGATATCACACTAGCAGCATTACCTGCCAAATGGGCCTCAAGTTCAGAGAATGAGACGCAGCCACTGAAAGCACATCAGAGTCTGTCTCTGTATGCGAGGCAGCTATACTATACTCCCTTAAGCTCTGTACTTCAGCATGCTATTGCAGTTCTGCTAACAGTTCCTTCATTTGGCCTGCTGCCAGCTCCTGTAATCTGTGTTCCACACTCTCCTCGTCCATGGCACTGCTCAGTGGACTCTTCTGCCCACTTTTGTTCCTTCTGCAACAACACAGCAGAGCAGTTTACCTTTTTCTTCCTGGCAAGCTCTGTAGCCATATCTGCTGTTCACTTCACTCCTCGTTCTTCCTGTGCAATGCCAGAAAAAGGTGATGAATAGACAGTTATTTTTTTAGCCTTAAGGCCTTAATTCACACTGGAGATGGTACTGAATTTTACATGCAACAATAATGTTTCATTTTAGCCATTGCGTAAAACATAAGACCACACACTGCATTTTGTTTTATCAGTATTTGGGTGAAACTGGTGCATTTATTGCACAGAAAAAAGGGGAATATGTGGTCAGTCAGATTTAAGAGAAAATATTACGTATAGTTTACATAAAAATATATTTCTCATCAAAACGTGACTTCACTGCTTATACTAAATTTAATTTAATTTAAGCAAATATCTAATCTACTTGTTTGATTTATGTAGAGTGAGGATGGTAAAGTCATGTAGTATTAACGTGATCCATTTACATTATAAAATCTTGTGAGGATGTTGGTGTTTAAAGGAGGAAACGACTATAGTATTAAATTAAAATGATTAACTTATGCGTGGCCCGAAAGCACAGCGGGTAATGTTGCTGCCTCCTGATGCCATGGCCCTTGGTTTAATCTTGAGCTTTGGTGAGTGCACTGTGTTTAATTTTATTCCAAGGCTTTGAATATATATAATCAAATCATGTTGGCTGCATGAAAACAAATTGTGTTAATGCGACTCAATTCATTCATGTAGAACCAACGTACACATTTGAATTAAGTAAATGCAACAAACACCTTTTTTTTCAGTGTGGGTGTCTAAGTGAAAGTTTTAAAAACCTTTCTTTCTTTTCACTTGTGCATGTGCCATGATTGTGCAAACTATTCTTACATATAAAAGAGTTTGTATGGTAGCAATACTCATAGAAGAGACATATCACTGTTTTATCACAGTTCCACTGTCTCATGTCATGTTTTTATTGAACAGTGTTAATTACAGCTGGCCAACTTTGGCTGTCCCCATTCCCCAGGTTTCATTGACACAGTTGTACATTTGGCCATTAGTTTTCTTGCTAAAAATAAAAAAAGCTGTCCTGCCTGTAGTTCATGTAAACCATGTGAGGTGTGAATCGAATGGACAGAGACCACACACTGCTCCTGACACTTACATGACTCATTGTGAATTTGCTGCTAAATAGATCCATCTTCAATTGATTACTAGTTTGGTACTGTATATTGCATATGTGTTTAGCAGTTAAAATTTCATTTCATGCTGTTCATTTTTGCAGTATATTAGCTAGCTTTGGTAGAATTGTTTTTCATTGCATGAGCTGTGGTAGCTCAGCGTTTAAGACGTTGGACTATTGATCGAACGGTTAAGAGTTCAAATCCTAGCACTGCCACTGCTAGACCCTTGAGCAAGGCCCTCAACTGCTCAGTTGTGTAAATGTGATAACGAGAAAGTTGCTCTGGATAAGGGTGTCTGCCGAAATGCTGTAAATTTAAATTTTCAACCTGAAGTTTAAACTGTATTTTATTGTGTGTATCGTATTGTTTTTCATCATTAAAGATATTAAAAATATATTACAGCAGCATGGTGGTGCAATGAATAGCTGCATCACAAGTTCGATCCTAAGCTTGGGTTGCTGTCTGTGAAGAGTTTCTCTGTATGTTCTCCCTGAGTCTGTTTGGGTTGCTCCGGGTTCTCTGTTCTTTTTCCACCTTCCAAAACTTGCCAGTTGGTAGATTGGCTAAGATGATTGCACCTAGGTGTGAATGTGTGTGTAAGCATCCCTAGTGTATACCTGATGTAATCCTGCCTCATGCCTAGTGTTCCCAAGAGAAAATGTATTATACTATTTGATAAACACCTATCAAATCATACACTATACGGCCAAAAGTATGCAGACACCTGACCATCACACCCCTATATCGTTCTTGATTATCGCATTCCAAAACCATGGACATTGATATGGAGTCCCCACTTTGCTGCTATAAAAGCCTCCACTGTTCAGCGAAGGCTTCTTACTAGGTTTTGGAACGTGGCTGTAGGGATTTGTGCCCATTCAGCCACAAGAGCATTAGTGAGGTCGGGCACTGATGTAATGGGAGAAAGCCTGGCGTGTAGTTGGTGTTCAGTGGGGTTGAGGTCAGGGCTCTTTGTAGGCCATTTGAGTTCTTCCACACCAGCCTTGGCAAACCATCTCTTTATGGACCTTGCTTTTTTGCACAGGGGCATTGTCATGCTGGGACAGGTTTGGGTTGGCTCCTTAGCTCCAATTAAGGGAAATCTTAAAGTTACTGATACACAGACATTCTAGACAATTGTGTGCTTCCAACTTTGTAGCAACAGTTTGGGGAAGACCCATATATAGGTGTGATGGTCAGGTGTCCATATACATTTGGGCAGATAGTATCTGCTATGGTTTAGTGTATTATGTTCTGCTATGTTCAGTTACTATAGTTCAGCTGGTTATGCTGTAGTTGGTGTTTTAAAATCTTGTCTTTTAAAATCCATCTTTTAAAATCCATGTGTCCCTTTTAAACTTTGAGCATCTGCCCCTAATATAATCTGTGATCACATTAACTATGACACAAGATTGAACAATTAAGCTAACATGAAAAATTAATAATAGCACTAATAAGGCTAATGTGAAATGGGGCAAGCCCAGCCAATATGCAATGCCGGTTGTTCATGGTTTCATTAGATTACTTCATTGCAAGTATTTGGGTGAAGCAGGTGCATGGGTGTCTAATTAAACTGCTGAGTTAGGAGAACTCATTATAATTCTAGTATTATTTAAAAAGTGTGTATTCTGTCCTTCTGTTTATGTGTTTGCAGTACGTAGCTTTACAGTATAATTCAATGTGTCTTCACTCTAATGATTTGCAAAATTAAGAGCCACAACAGAATAATGACTATGCAAAATGTCACCACTGCCTACTCAACTGGATAACTGTTTACTTCTGAATGCAAGAATAAGCCAAAGGCCATATCACATGAGCTGCATCCTGGATGATTAATTATCAGTATATAGAGAATCTAACGTGTCATATGACTCTGTGCACGCAAGTGTCATAAGTACTGTGCAAGAACTATTTTCTATTTCTTTTTTGGGTTTCAGTGATAATTGTCCATTCACGTGCAACAGCAGAACCTTAACAACATCACAGTGTATAAACATAAAAGTTGCACTGTTTCTAAGACTTGTGGATAATGTCACATCCAGCATTACTGAGTAGTTCTCACTGCAAAGGCAATAACAAACTAACCCTGGGGCATCAGCTAAAGGACAACCCACCCACTGATTTATACCCTGTTAAAGACTGCATATGCCCTTAGGCTCCACACTACAAAGTGACCCTGTGTTCAGGCACACAAAATGAAGCAAAGGCCTAACACAGTTATATATCCCCACCGACTGAGAAACTAGACCATGAAAACCCATTCTGTCTCTGTGAGAGGTGAACCATGGCTGCTAGTGTGAGATATGAAAGCATAACAAGCAAAAGGGGAATGTACAATTAGCTCCAAAGCGCTTCTGTCATTTTAACTAACATGTTATATAATATTCCTTTTTAAAATCCATAGCATGCGTACTGAAGCTATTGAAATATAAAATATCTATCAGTGGAATAACAACTCTTTTGTGCAATAATGTGTTTTCAAGGTTGTAGCATTTTTCTTAGTGATTCTGTTTTCTGGCCTCATTTTAATTTTTGAATTCACTGTAACCTACATACACTCACCATCCACTTTATTAGGAACAACTGTACACCTGCTCATTCATGCAACTATCATTCATGCAATTGTTGAGGTCAGAGGAGAAAAACCATACTGGTTTGAGCTGACAGGAAGCCAAACCATGGTAACTCAAATAAGCACTCTTTACAACCACGGTAAGCAGAAAAGTATCTCAGAAGACACAACCTTGAGGCAGATGGGCTACAACAGCAGAATACCACATCAGGTTCCACTCCTGTCAGCCAAGAAGAAGAATCTGAGGCTACAGTGAGCACAGACTCAAAACTGGGCAGTTGGAGATTGGAGAAAGACCACGCAACATGTTAAAGTGGATAAGTGTATATCTTCTGTGGTAGTTCAAAATAGTCAAAAGTGATAAGAATGTATACAACTTCCTAAGATAAGTATTACACTTCAATAATTTCACTATCAAGTTAAAGTAAAATAAAAGTTCTATGTTTAAACAGCAGGTTATTTCATTACACCTTTTTTTTTCAATAGCAAGACCGAAAGCTATTTTCAGAGTGTCCGTAATTCATTTTTCACATGTAACCGTGTCATTGTGAGTGTTTGCTAAGCACAAATATTCCTATGTAAAGAGCATGCTGAACTTGACATCCTTTTTGTGCTGCTTTTCAGTTAAGTGCCCTTTCAATGGGATTTGTCACAAAACTGCCCACTGAAGTGGAAGAATGCTGTCAGTTTCTATGGAGACCTCACCCACGAACTGTCCAAAAAACGAGTCACACAGCATGAGCAGGGTAATACAACATTACCGTGAGCAAGACAACTGTAATCAAAACAAGAAAGAAAACTATTGCTATTGTTTAAAGCTTCAAATCATTAGCTTATACCGTTAAAAAGAGTGATTCAGAGGGAAAAAAACATTACACAAATTTCTATTTAAAAAAAGACAATCACGCTGGAAATGAGTGTTCACATTGTGGTGCCACAAGGTTAACATATCAGAAGTAATAGAAGTATAAGAGCATATTACCATATTGCAATCATCAGTTCAAAAGCATCACAGACTTGCTTCAAGCTGTTGTTAAAGAAACTCAAAGAGACTTATCTGTGTTTTCCGATACAATGGTCTATTAAAAGGATGATTTTGGCATGCAGCCTGCCCAGTAGTTTGCTGGCCATTAGCGTCCATTATTAGTCCTATTATCCACATAGCTCCAGGGCCTTGGCTGTTCAGTTAATTGTAAGGTAAGTAGAAAACAAATGCAAGTTTGATGTTCTCCTGAACCTTTTCTTTAAGAACTGCAGCAAACACAGACTTAATATGATACATATTTAATGTGTCTACACAGGCTACTTAACCAAGCAGTTTTGCAGCTAATCATTTTGTTCACACATGGAAAGCATTTGACTGTCATAATTCGTAAGTATTCCTGAGTAGAAGAGAAGCAGAGGCTTTCAACCGAGAGTAAACTATAGGCGATGTATTGTCTTGAAGTTTCAAAGCAAAATCAATGATGATCAGAGCAAGTTATCTTTAACAGCACTTAGGCTTAGTGAATTACGGAAGGCTATCAACCACTAATGTGGGCTAATTGACTTATATGATTTATGATCAACGTATTAGTCGGGGTTTTCAAACCACACAGACCTTCAGAAGGGACCATTCTCTCTCAAGGAGAATATGTGGTTCTACAGCAAGTTTCCCCCAAGAGGACAGTGTGAGGTAAGGGCTCAGTTATTCAAATAGACTACATGGTCCCTTGGTGAGATTGCAGAAGGCTGAACAGAAAACTACACTATTATAGTAGATGAAAGACTGCGGGAGTGTCTGTGTAAAAGGCCAAGCACTTCAACCTCTTCACCCTCGAACAGTTGCTTCAGGAATCTCAGCAAAAAGCCCTGCCCATATCAGATAGCACATGCCTCCCCATTAGCAATGGGAACACTCAACGTTCTGTCTGATATCCCAGCTACTTATTCAGAGTATCACAGTTATTCAGCCAACAACAGACCACACAGATCATGTGCAGGTTGTGATATGCAGATCTCACTTCTCTTTATGCAAGAGTCTCTTCAGTCTATGGAATATTTACTGTGGAAATGTCCAGGGAAGAGACTGTCCTGTTAATGTCAGTCTGTGCACTCCATTAAATTGTAAGAATTCACCCACTTTAAGTCTTCTTAACACATTACCCTTCTTGCAAACAAGATAGAATTGTATTACTATAAACGTGTAGAAATAGTAAAATCTGCATTTTATCAGTAAAACCACACAGCAAAACTAGACAGCAACACAATATAGAGCCCACACTCATGGATGCATGGATGCATAATGGTGATGATAATGATGAAGCATGCTGCTGCTGAAGATGAAGGGACAGTTTACATCCTGAAACCTGTACATTCTCCAGCATGCTCGTTAATGTCTGAGAGTCAAAGACAGAAACATGCGCATGTGTGGATTGCATGCATTAAGGCTCCTGCACCGTTAGTCCAGCCTACACATTAATGCACCGCAAAAATAACACCAGTACTGTGGCAATAAATAAATAAATAAATAAATAAGTCAAACCGCATTTGGTCACTATGTCGTATAGGCCATGTTTGTGCAGGATGCACAACATCTAGGAGAAAGGCATGCATGCATGCATGCAATTTGATCCAGACGTCAAATATATGACACATCTTACAGAAGA